ATCTTTGTAATAATAAGAATGCTAAATCATGACCTTGGTATATTTCCCCGTTTTTAAAAAAGGTTTTATTTATTTTTAGACAGAGAAGAAGGAAGGGAGAAAGAGAGGGAGAGAAACATCCATATGTGGTTGCCTTCAAGTGCCCCCCACCCCCAGAACCTGGCCCACAACCCAGGCATGTACCCTAGACTGGGAATTGAACCAGCTACCCCCTGTTCCACTGGCCAGAACTCAACCCACTGAGCCACACCAACCAGAGCCAGCTTCAATTTCTTTAAAAGATACTTGCCAAGGATCTAAATTTTTACTCTGGAAAAAAATTATACATTTTTTAAAGATTTTATTTATTTATTTTTAGAGAGGGGAAGGGAAGGAGGAAGAGGGAGAGAAACATCAATGTGTGGGTGCCTCTGGAGTGCCCCCAGTTCGGGGACTGGCCCACAACCCAGGCATGTGTCCTGACTGGGAATCAAACCAGCAACCTTTCAGTTTGCAGGCCTGTGTTCAATCCACTGAGCTACACCAGCCAGGCCTAAATTATACATTTTATATATTCCACTTTGTGTTTAATCTTTTCAAGGTAGTTAACTTAGTTTACTAAAAGTCAACAATTTTTTTAATTTTTATTTTTTTATTGATTTTAGAGCGAGAAAGAGAGAAATATATTGACTTGTCATGCCACTTTATTTACACATTGATTGGTTGATTCTCTTATGTGCCGTAACTGGGCATACATCCTGCAACTTTAACGCATGAGGACGATGCTCTAACCAACTGAGCTACCCAGCCAGGGATTAATCAACATTTCTTTCATTTTATAATCATAGTTCATTGGTTTATGTAATTTTGTGTTAAATTATATAATTATAATACAAGTGCAAATTGTCATAATCCTTGATAGGTCTTTAAAATAATCCTTCATAGGTGGAGGCAATGCAGTGGGCATCATCAGTCAGTATGTCCCATAAAAAGAGAATGAGGATTTACTAATCTAAACCTAAATTCACTTCTTATTTCTTTTACTGTACATGGAACAGTACCTGGCACATAGTATTTACTACGTAAGTATTTGCTACTATGTTAGCATTAAAATTCAACTAGGTATAGATAACTGTGTATGCAAGGGTGAAATTCCACCTACTAAACACATTCTCCAGAATCAGAGACTACCTGTACTTAAATTGTCAAAAGGGAGTAGAGCCCCGGCCAGCTGGCTTAGGTAGTTGAAGCCTGTCCCATACGCCAAAAAGGTTGTGGGTTCAATTCCCAGTCAGGGCACATACATAAGTCACCGGTTCAATCCCCAGTCAAGGTGTGTACAGGAGGCAACATATTGATGTCTCTCACACATCAGTGTTTCTCTCTCCCCCCCTCTCTAAAATTAGTAAGAACATATCCTTGGGTGAGAATTTAAAATTTTTTTTTTATTTTTTAAAAAGGATATTAGAGAAGGGAATATAAATTGCAATGCTCCTCATCAAAACCATATAAATACAGAGTATAATAAGTCTTACATTACTGAAAGTGGGTTATCCAGTGCTTAAATGAAGACATATTTAAAAAGAAGTAGTACAGCTCATCACATATCAGGTCAACAAGAAATAGAAAGTAGGTTCAAAACCCAATTTTAGCCCTGCCTGGTATGGCTCATTGGTTGAACGCCAGCCTATATATCAAATGGTTGCCAGTTCGATTCCTGGTCTAGGACACATGCCTGGGTTGCAGGCCAGGTCCCAGGTGGGGGGGTGCTCAAGAGGCAACCACACGTTGATGTTTCTCTCCCTCTCTTTCTCCCTCCTTTCCCCTCTCTAAAAAATTAAATAAATAAAATCTTTAAAAAACAAAACCCAATTTTACCTTAACATCTCAAAAATGCTAACAGGATGGCTGCAGGTCCTCCTAAAAAGTAGTAGCTGGACTAAAAGAAGAAAGTCAACTATAACTACTTGGTGCACATTAAGCTACTTCCCGTTACAAAAAAATATCACTCTCTTAAACAAAAACCATACAGTGTATCCCAAAGCACAAAACAAATGCTTTCGGTTTACTGATTCTTATAAATTAAATATGTTAAGAAAAAGAGAAACAATGCATATGCTGTAATATGCGAGAAAAATTTTAATATGCAAATAAAAAACCTGAATATAAGTAAAGAGCAACTTAAATATAAGTACTATTGAATTAATGTGATGGTTTGGCCATTTCATTTTAATGTAGGTTTTGTGATATGTGTATCTAATTTACAGGAATAAAAAACTTGAAGCAGCATGACAAAAGATCTATGGTCACCAGGAAGTTCAAAGACTGCAAGCTACTTAAAACACTCCTGTCCACTAGGGAAGAATCCACAGTGGCACTGAATTTCTTCCTTCTATGGACATCAAAAGTACTGAAAATGTTATGAATAGTTAGGAGAAACTCAGGACAGCCCATGAGGCTGCACCAGTCCCACTAGATGGCACTATCACAGGAAAGTCACTCTGTTCTCCCATTTGGAGTAAGAGCTGAAATCTCTCTTGATCTTTTCAAAACTGAAAGCTGTCATCAACACACTGACATCCTCACTAGGAAATCATGACCCATAATGATGAATTCAAATCTAGGAAAAGGAGATTTCCCAAAAGCACCTTTTCTCCCAGAACCATGGTCTAGGCCTTACTCCTATTTCAAATCAGTGGTCTTAAGAGACACAATGTCTTACAGGGAAAAGAAACTGTACAAAATGGTGATTTTCTTTTCCTCTTCCCAAGTCTGCAAACTATTGTACAAAATTATTGACTTGGTTTTTTTTCTTCAAGTTGCTATGGGGGAAAAAACACTCTGTTGCTAGTCTTTGAATAACATGTTTATTGTAATCAATATACCTACCCTGACTGGAAACATCAAAATAACATACAATTAATTCTATAAAAATAGTTGGGATATAAATGAACTTCTCTCTTTTTTTAAAAGAGTTTATTTATTTTTAGAGAGGGGAAGGGAAGGAGAAAAAGAGGGAGAGAAACATCAATGTGTGGGCTGCCTCTCACACACCCCATACTGGGGACCTGGCCCACAACCCAGGTATGTGCCCTGACTAGGAACTGAACCAGTGACCCTTTGCTTCACAGGCCTGCATTCAATCCACTGTGAACTTCTCTCTTTATATATTAAACATAGAACTTCCTATTAAATAGATCATTGGATTAAGTTTTCTGACACCTTAGTTACATGATGTTAAGTTGGGCCTTGGTAGCAAAATTCAGTATTACTCATTCCCATCATTTGGGCTTTACCCCATCAAAAGTATACTTGGCCCTGGCCTGGTAATTCAGCTGGTTATAGCATTGTTCTGGGTTCGATCCCTAGTCAGGGCACATACAAGCATCAATCAATGAATGCATAAATAAGTGGGACAACAAATTGATGTTTCTCTCTGTCTCCTCTCACCAAAAAATCAATAAATTAAATATATATATATATAAATAATAAAATATACTTGGATATAGTTATCATGAACCAAAAAAAAAACAAAGGAAAGAAGAGCATCCTTACAACAAAACCCAATGAGGTTAAACTACGTATACAACTTACTCATACTTAGGAGGTGACATCTGAACAAATTTGGATATAAGCCTTCTGCTGAATTCCGAAGTTAAAAAAATATATCAAAGGTCATTATTAGGTAATCAACAGAATCAGAGATCAACTTAATACTTAAATACAGTGTTCTCTTACAGATGAAGCTACTTCACCTAAACCAGAATATTTACATTTATACATGTAACTTCAACATATAGCAACAGTCAGGAGTATAGCCCTACAAAGTACCTTAAGAGTCAGTTGTTAAAGTGGCCTAAGACACCCCAGCCACCTAATGGATAAGGCATTGTCCTGCTAAAGTGACTCAAAAAACCAAGAACTACAAAAATATGTGTTCCCATAGCACCAAGTCACAGCTCTTACATGGCTCTTATCCCCGTATCATCTGCGTCTTTCACTCTCTCCATAATGGGAACTTGAAGGCACTACAGTGAGGTGCCATGCCTAACACCTTGCACAATGCCCAACATGCAGTAGGCTCTCAGTATTTGTTGAATGAATAAAAACTATCAAGCTATTCCAGCTCACCAAAACTATGAAACCCATCAAAGCAACAGGATTTTTCCAACTAAACCTTGACAAGTAACACCTTTAAGAAGCTACAAGCCAAAGCATAAGACTAACATATAGATCACCATGAGAAATAATATTTCTTGAAAAGCACAAAGAAATGTATCACATGAAGTCAATGATAAAAAATTCACGAGTCTCTAGCCCAAGTAATGCAACAATCTTGGATTGGTGAAGCTTTTAAATAAAGCATCATAAATATATTTTGCATACTGTACTAAAACCATCCTATGAGAGCAGAGGGGTGAAATAGCAGGTACACAAGGATGCACAGGAAGCTATAACATTCTTTAACTTAACATCTACCCATTAATGGCTGCCTGATCTTATTTTATGCTCCCAAAACAAAAATAAAGAGTGAAGGAGAAGGAAAAATAGAGGAGTGAAAGCAGTCTGGAGGTATAAACAGGAGGAATCTGCTGAATTGCAGATTTGGAGAAATGACAGACAGATTTTTCAAAACACTACCATATAACTATCCAAAAAGTCCGGTGTAAGGAAGCTATGTCAATACATTTTATTTAACAGGTTTTCTTCTGAGTGACTGAAGAGTTTTGACAAAAATATGGCATAAAATACACATTCAGTTAGTATTCTTGCAATATGACCCATGGGAAACCTCTCCCACATCAGAGGTTTGAAAAAGCAGCATATACTCCCATACAGAACACGTTCAAATGCACTGCTAAACGACGGGAATTAATGGTAGGATTTAAAAATTCACTGGGCCCACAAGTGGAATTTTCTCCTCTACAACCTATCAGTATGGTCCAACCAAATTGCCCTTAATTGATTTTTAAATGTCTTTAAATTAGACTATGAACAGGTTTCATTATCATTTTACTCACCTTACTAACACCAACTCCAGTAAACCTGGCCTCTAATAATTCCTGCCGTCGTGGGTCCAAGCTATGCAATTCTTCCATCATTTCTAATGAAAAAGAAAAAGGTAGGTTGTGAGACCATAAAAGCTAAAATGCAAGGAGCCAATTTTTAGATATTAAGAAACACAGTAATTAGTTCACTGAATGTTCACATGCAGGTAAGCCTCAAATAAATAGCATATAAGTTATAAACTACAATGTACTATATCAAATAGTAACACATTTAAAGTTATAAGGTGGCTCAGAAGTTCTTTTTTGAGAGCCATTTCTCTCATTCAGATTTTATTTTAACAGTAAAAATACCTCAAACCCTTCATATAATCTCTAAAAGTTGAGCAAAAACTAGCTTGCAAAAAAAATCCTTCAAAAAATTCCTTCTATTGACCTCTGAATTTAGCTAAATACTTTCAAATATTGCTTTCCAAAACACACAAGAACTAGTTTTTATGAAGAACTAATAATAATTTCACAATAATGTAACATGAATCAGAAACTACAAGTAAGTTCAAGTAACACCATTACATAGCTCCTTTCTCTGAAGAGTTCACAGTAGCTCGTGAAAAAAGGAATTATTTTAAATTTAATAGACAACCCATAGTAAAACCATCAGCATGCATTCACTCAGGAAATTAGTATAGCTCCATAACCATCCCTTTTCACAATCTTTTTCTGACCACTCCCTGAAGCAGGAGGTTTCTCTAGACATCTGCTTTTAGCACTCCTTCCAAGCAGGGAGGGGCAAGAGGACACCATTTTTAAACTCCTTCCTTGACCAATTAATGCACAGGCTAGTTTGAGCAAATATGTCCATCTTTTGCAAGAGAGCAACTCTTGCAGAACCAACTGGAAACCTGTCTGTGGAAAGGAGCGTATACCATTACATAGAACCCCTCTGAACATATTATTAAATAGTTGTTGGAATGATTGTCATGATTTAAAAGTTCACTGAAAACATTAATTAAACATTCTCTTCTGCAATCTAGCAACTCCACAATTTCCAGTAACAACCCCTCCAAGTCCTCCAGTTTCATTTCCCTTCCTGGATTGAGAGCCTCAGGCAAAGGGGAGTGAAGGGGTGACAAATTAAAGTTTCACCCACACATACAAGCGCAGGTTACAGAGGGAATTACGATATTCTCGGATAGATAAGGAAGAAAGACATCTTTTAAAATGGGAAATAAAGAAAAAGGAGAATGAGTTTCCCCTAAGTGGCCTGCCTCGCGTGTCGCCCTGCCCTAATCGAGGCCGGTATGGCAGAGATTGCAGCCTCCGTCAAAACCCAGGGTCTCTTAGAATATTTCGTAAACCTCCATCCCCAGGCCTCGCCAGGAAAATGACACCCCAGAGGTTATTCCATTTAATGTCAACTCATGTTAAAGAAATATCCAGTCTGTCTCATTCCAGCGGGGCCTTGATCTGGGATCATCCCTGGAGCCCAGAGCCGGGAAGCAGGACTGATGGGGCCTGGTCCCGGCGCCCCTCGCCTCCCGCCGGCTCCAAACTTTCCCCAACTCCAGGCCCACCTGTCACGATGGGAGGGCGGGCCAGCTCTCGGGGGCGCCGGGGAGACTGCCGGGGCCTCCAGCTGCCGGGGCGCCCCCTCTCCCCGCCAGCCGTCGGCCCCACTGCCAGGCCGGGGCCGCCTGGGCCTCCCCCATCTTCCGCCCGGCCCCTCGGCGACCCGCAGCTCTCGGGAAACCCCTCCTGCCTCAGTGAGGAAGAGCTGCGACCCAACGCCGGCCCGTAGTGGGCCCGGGCTACAGCCTCTTCAGCCGAGGGGGTTCCCCAGACGGTTAGTGCCCCAGGCCCGGCGCCCCCCCTTGCCCCGGGCTCAGCCTCTCACCTGCCGCTGCCGCTGCTGCCGCCGCCGCCGCTCCACGCTCCTCCAGGGAGGGGCCCCGACCCGACCCGGCTGCGGATCACTTGGCTCTCCCCCTGGGCAGGCCCGGGGCGGAGCCGGGGCCTCTCCTGAGCGCCGCAACCCCCCACCCGGGAAGCCGCCTCCGGCGCCGGGATCCACGAGAGGGCGGGCGGGGGAGGGGGGCCGCGGAGGCCGCAGATCCCCGGGCTCGCGTACAGAGCAAGGCGCCCAACGCGGGCCCGGGCCCGGGCGGCCGCGGGGAGTGCGGAACCGGCCTCCTGGCGCCGGACAAAGGCCAAGGGAGGCGCAGGAGGGCTCAGGCCGGGCCGGGAGGTGGGGGCCCGCTCAGCTGGGGGCCACTCGGGTGCGGCGCAGAGGGAGGGGGGGTCGGAACCGCTCGTGCCCAGGACCCGCCTCCGGCCCCTTAATCCGGATCGGTTCGGTCCGGATTAGTAGTGATCGGTGTAAACACACTAGTGAAACCGCGTGTTTCCTCGCGAGATTTGCACGGCTGGGAAGCGGGGGGGGGGGGGTCCTGGGGGGGTGGGATGGGGGGGAAGAGACGACAGTGGGGGAGGAGGGGGAGGGGACGAGAAAAGTAGGGGGGGTCCCCGCTGCCCCAGCGCCCCGCCTCCTCCAATCAGCGGTCGGGCTGGCGGGCAGGGGTTAACCAGGGGACCCCGCGCCGGCGGAGAAGGCCGCCGCCTCGCCTGGCGGCTGAGGGCGGGAGGGCGGCGGCGCTAGCGGGCGGGCTGCGACGCGAAGGCAGGTCGGGCCGCTCAGAGAGCCGCCGGGGCCGGAGTCCCGGACTTCAGCTGCCTTTGTACAGCCGGCCCCGCCCCACGAGATCAGCCCTGACCGGGGCGGCTGGGTCAGAACTCTGGACCGCGGATCAGAGCTAGAGGGGCCTAGCCGCCAGTGCCCGCGCTTCCCGGATCCGCCTGGCGGAACCCGCGCCCGCCTAATCCCTCGTCAGCACGAGTTTAGGTGAGAAGCGGGGTGGCTATGCCCAGAATGGATTTTGGAGGAGGAAAGCCTGTGAGCCGGTGAGCCCCGCCCGAACTTCGCTGGAGATGCCCTGTTAGTGAGTTCGCTTGCTCCCACGCCCCACCAGTCTCCAAAGCGATCGTCCCGGTCCCGAAACTCACGTGGAAAGTGGACAGCGGACAGCACTTTCCCTACACATACCTGGTTGGCAGGATGCCTCCAGAGACAAAGGTGCCCTGGGATCAAAGCTGAACCCCCACCCCTACCACGATGTTGCCCTCCAGAAAGGGGGCGGGGGGGGGCACTGTCTCAAAGGGACACTCACCGGGCACCCTCGGGGAGGTTCCGTTTCAACCTCTGATTAAAACACGGCCCTCCTGGGTACTTAGGAGGGTCTGAGGGTAAGTGGTTGGATGACAAAAACAGGCCTGCCTTTCACAGAATGTCTACTAAGGAATGAGAAATATGAAGGGGTGAGCTCTTGAGCATAGTAGATCCTGCAGCAAGGAGGGCATACGGCGTAGTTAAGAGCTCCCACGCTGATCACCCAGCACCAAAGAAAAAAGCACATTCTCCACCAAGGCCTATGAGCCAGGACACTGACTTCAATGCAAATACCCATTCTTTTTTTCCTGTGATGCTTCCCTGATCAGATGTCTAGAGTTGACTTAAGGACTCAAGTGAATCCACGAGAGAAAAATTCAGACATTAAACAACAGTTTCCTTGAAATTTTCCAGGGAGTAGGCAAGTACTTCAAGTGGAGTTTCTGCCTTTTTTTCACTTCCTGTTACTTCGTAATTCTTCCATATTTTAACAGAACATAGACCAGCTGAAAGAGCAAAGAATGGCAGTTTCTATTGTCCAACCTCCCAAGCCCTTGGGCATATTCAAGCACTGTGGAAAAACTCCATTAAACCAAGAGTCACCTTGCTCCAGATACAAGCCAGGTTGGGAAGTGCACACACATATTTCCAAAGTGTTTGAAAGGAAGGAGGAGAAAAAGTCAGGGGCAGAAAGAAGAAAAGGGTAAGATGAAGGACTATCAAGAGAGCAGGAGACCCAGGAGGCTAGTGTACATGTGGCTTGCCTTGCATTCTAGCACAAAAGCGAATGAGCCAAGCTCTTTCACTATCGTGAATGGGCAAGAAAGTTAACTCCTTAAAATGACATTGAAACGTCTTAAATGAGGAGAGAAGATTTTAAGGAAATAGCACAGTCAGCTAAGTTTCAACCCAGCTCTTCCACAGACAAGCTGTGTGGGCCTATGACCTAACCTTTTCAAGCTTTGCCAACCTCAACTGTGAAGGAGGAGTTTAGACTAGAGGATTTCCAAAAGGCTTTCAAGTGTGAAAGGCTATTATTCCATTTTTTAAATTATTTAAAGTAGCCCTGGCTGGTGCGGCTCGGGGCTGAGTGCTGCCTATGAACCAAAGGGTTGCCGTTTCGATTCCCAGTTGGGGCATATGCCTGGGTTGCTGGGCCAGGTCCCCAGTGGGGAGCGTGTGAGGGGCAACCACACAGTGATATTTCTTTCCCTTCCCTTCTCTAAAAAATAAATAAAATATTTTTAAAATTCTTATTTTAAGTAGTCATTGAAACACAGGAAAAGATGAGATTTTTTAGCTTCTCTTCTCCTAGTGCATTTTTCTCTGTATGGTAAGGAACTTACACTGTTTCCCTGGCTGGTGTGGCTCAATGCATTGAGCACCAGCCTGCGAACCGAAGGTTGCCAGTTCAATTCCTGGTCAGGGCATGTGCCCAGGTTACAGGCCCGGTCCTCAGTTGGAGCCTGTAATGTATCTCTCCCTCTCTTCCCCTCTCTCTGAAAATAAATAAATATTTTTTTTAAAAAAGAACTTACACTGTCATAGGTCTATTCACAGCCCCACTCTAAATTTAACACTCATACCAATAGAAATTCATACCAGTAGGAATTTAATGAATTTGCTTACCACCAAGATTTGTGATTCTATTTATAGGCATTATGTAAATATAAGTATCAAATAACAACAGTAAGGAAAAAAACAGACAATGTGGTTTACCCTTTCCCTGCGAAAGATGAATAATTTCTAAGTAATTCTATTGTCAAATGTTTCCTCTTACAATGTGATGTAACCTTGGATTTGCGAATGAACTTGTTTAAAGTGTGTTTGATCATATGGCAACTTTGTGAGACTCAACTTGTCATGGACTGGCAAATAGTCACATGCCCCATGGAAAGGCCCAAACCCCATTCAAACTGAAGAAGGCTCAAACCTGGATTCAAATAGAAGATGGGCACATTGGCCATCTGGTCCTTTCTGCCTGTAGGGGTGTATATAACAAGTCCTCCAATATCATGTTCTTATTCCCAGAGAGAACCACACAGCTGCTGGACACACCTCAGACTATTTCAGATAATCTCCAAGGTGTGCTCTGCAGCACACCTACAGGCACGTTAATATGCTTTAACCCTTCAGTGGTCACCCTTCCGAATGGAGCCTGAGAGGTCACATGGATGACATTGGTCATCCAAAAATTTTAACATTTTTATCAATAATCATCTAAGTATAACTTCTGTGAGAAAGATGGACTTTGGACCAAAACTGATGATTATTTTGCATAGGTGACTATTGTCCACATGACCACTCGAGAGTTAAAGGGAATTGATATTACATTGGTCCTTGGGAACCTCTTGGTTCAAGTTAAGTGGAATCCTCCATCTAAGTACTAGTTAGATCCTACAATGTGTAATGTGCATCAGGCAATGTCCAGGAGGGGAACCGGGGTACTCAGTGTTTTCCTATTTAATTTTGGAACCACCACCTGGGTTTTTGTTGGTTGGTTTCAGGGTACTTCTGGGAAAGATGTTCTGAGGAAGACAGTGAGGGAAACTAGAGTAGCTTATCCCACATTTGCTCATTCACATATACCACTCTAACGATTATCTAACTTATTCTTTGGTGTTCCAAAATATCCACCAGACTGGCATTTGATATTGAGCAGATTGAGTGTGCTCAGGAATCTTAACTCCTTTTCTAAAGGAGCAGGCATGGTGGAGACAGGATATACTTCCTAGTCAAGTTCCCTGGTTTTAATGTTGGCCCTGCCTCTTACCAGCTGTGTAGCCTTAAGTAAGATATCTAACTTCCCTAAGCCTCAGTTTCTTTATCCATAAAATGGTGTTGAAACCTCATAGGACTGTTGGAGAATGAGATAATATATCATCTTACCAAAGTAATTCCCCAAACTTCACACTTATACTAAGGGTGAAGTCTCATTTGTCATGAGATTGATTTAGCAGCACAGAGCCTAACTTCAGAAACCAAGCTGCCAGTACCTTTTAGTGGTACTGTTTCCTTCAGGACAGAAAAAGGACTTGATGTCTCTTTAATGACATATGTTGGGGGCAACAGAAAAAAACCATAGACATCACCTGACCTGTTTATGTTCTCCCATCCCTGAGAACTGAGGGTTTCTAGTGGTATGTAGAAAAAGGAATTTTGAGAGGGCAGTACTTGTAAGTTCTGGGCAGGAGATCATAGAACATTTGTGGTGAAACAGAACTAGGTTCCAATCCTGTCTCTTCACCTCTCACGTTCCTCATCTGAAAACTGGCCAACATACCTAATTCCATGAGTGGCTTTCATTAAAATGGAAATAAATGCTGGTGGGAAATGTAACCAATGTTATTTCCTCTCTCCTCCCCATTCCTAACAAAATGGAAAAGCATCTGTTTGCCATGAAAGTGCACTACAGATTTAAAAAAATTCAAATCTCAGCCTTTGGAAGTTGCTCTACCAGTCACTCTCCTATCTCTGTTTTTCATATCCTCCTACTGTCCA